ACCAAAAAAAAAAAAAAAAAAAAAGTGCTCCTTTTATTTTGCGCGCGAACGTTGTTCTCTTCTTCGCCCTGCGGCGCACTAATGTTTTTCTCCCCTAAGCAATTGCTCTCATTATTTTTCCACGTGGTGCTCTTCTTCTCTTTCCCCGTAGTGCTTTCTTTGTCTTCTGTAGTGTTCCTCTTCTTCTCAACGCTAGTTGTCATCTCCCCTCATGTACCTCCCGGGTTGTTCTTCTCCCTCTCATTTTCCTTGCTTGTTCTTCTTCCCTGCAATCATTCATTTTCCTCCCTTCTTTGTTGTCTCACTCCTTCATACCTTTCCCCATTATACCAGATCGTTGGTGAACTAAGCACCTCGTCGTTGATTATAATCGAGCTCAGGGATGAATCCGACAACTTAGGCGACCCGGATTAGTGCCAAAAATAAGATAAAGCGGAACCAGAAAAAAAAAAAAAAGACACAAAGAGTAGGGCTACCAGACCCATACGGGCCCAGCCGCCCATCCGGGCAGCCGGGCCACATGGACTTGGACCCTCCTACTCAGGTCACCCGGGCGAGTAAAAAAAATAGTCAAAACTTTTTTCTTTTTCCCCCTTAATCATGGGGCATTTTTGCGCCCGCCGAGAGGGACCCAAATCCGGTATTCTTTTTTTTTTTGCTTCATGTCGTTTTGGAGGGTGGGGGGGTGGGGGAGGGGAGGTAAGGGAAGATAAAGGGGCTTAAAAGAGGTTGAAAGACCTTTAAAGGGGCTGAGATGAATTTCCTTACATTATTTTATCTTTATTTCAAATTTTGTGAAGACTTTGGAAGTGACCCTCAACCAAAAGTTATTTGGTTTGCTATTCTGCACAACATACTTTTTTCTGAAAAAACAAATATATATATATGTTCATTCCACCGAGTACCCTTCTTCGTTTTCACCTTGTACCTACTCCATCATTGTGCATCCACCTCTCATTCTCGATGATATTTCTCGCTATCCTCGCTTCGTCTCTGTCATGCTACACACAAGCTTGTTATTTCCTTGCTAACACACCATTTCTACTCCGCAACCGTGTCTGTCGCCTGTGCCCGTGTAGCTGTCTTCACCACCATTGTACGTTTTTCCTCCTCGTTCTCATCTTCATGTTTTAACATTCTCCTCCTCCTTTTCCCTTTTCATCTTATTTTAATATTTTCCTCTTCTTCCACCATTTTCTTCTCTCATTCGTAAAACTTCTTCCATCTCCTCTTTCTCTTCACCTCCCGCGAATGTGTTTTCTTTTTTTTTGTCTCTCTCAACAGCACCTGCCTTCTTTTATTGTACCCGACCACATTTAAAATCGAATAAAAACATAGATAAAAAAATATATTAAGTTTATGGCATACTAGGTCGAAACTCGCACTCAAACCTTTTTTAACAGGTCTTGATTTACGGTCGTTTTCACCACCAGGTGAGTTGTTGTGTCTCTCGCTTGCACACTTATTCACTGCTTGCTACTTTCCTACTGCGCATTACCTTTTTTCTATCGCTCGTTTCGATCTCCTCTTGCCACGCACTCCTTCCTTTCTATTGTGTGTTCAAACTTCCTCATTTCTCGTCTCCTACCATTACTTTTTTTTTGTGCACATGCCTTCTTACTCCAATTGCCTGTTCTTCTCTTCTATCCCACTGTCTTTATGTCTCTTCTCGTTGCTTTACCTCCCTCTTTTTTCCCGTGCTTGTACCTGATCATTAATACGATAAGATTTACTTAGAATAACCCAACGAAAATTCAAAAACTTAGTAGGCACCATGACGTGAAAATCGAACACACAAACGTGCATGCGGGCCATTGCCTCTTCTCTTACATGTGTCAACCAACTCATTCTCCCTCACGCTGCAATCGCCTGTCGGCCTTCTTCCACCTTCCACATGTGTCTCTTTCACATGCGAGGTCTCTTTTCTACGCACATCCCACATCACCTTCCCTTTCTGTCTGCTCGTGTTCCTCTTGCTGAGAGGTGAATGAACCTACCTCATGATCGAGGGCAGGTACATTGTGAAAGGAAATTAACACAAGATTTAAAACTCGGCAAAAGTTCACACAGCAATATCTTAATTTTTCCTCTCTCTTTCTCTCTCTACTCGCCATCCTCCTACCTTTTCTTCTTCGTCGTTGTCTTTTTCCGCTCACTATCTCCCTTGCTTCTTGCTGCACACTTCACTCCTTCTGACCTCGAACAACGTCACGCACGAACGAACCATCGACCGCTTTGGCCCACAGTCGGATACAAACGTTTACCCAACATATCAAAAGCGACCGCCTCATCTCTGCATCGAGAAACACAAGTAGAGAAAGAACGAATGCACCACGCATCCTACATCCTCGGACGGACCGAAAGCCTCCACCTGTTCATGCCGGCGCAAAAGGAACACCCCTTCCCCCCTGGGTCCACATGTGTTTGTTGTCGTTGGCAACACACAGAACTCGGTGCAGGCAAAAACCCAAGAGACAGAGGACCATAGACTTCATGGCCC